TATCTTGCAGGAACATTGCCAGCACGCGGGTCTCCATCAATAAGCAGTTGTGCGTTTCTCTGGGGATCTCGCACTGCCTTCTGCTCTTCCTTCTTGACAGAGATTTTCTCAAGTTGTCGGAGGTGAGTCTTTTCTTGGTGTGCCCGCGGTGCCCGAGAGCCTTTGGCTTGCTTGCGAGAATTTACGTTGGTGCTTCATTGTTTGTTTTATCATAATTGTTCTTCTCATTATAATGGTTAATGGTTAAAAAACAAAATAAATGCGCTAGACATCTAAGGCACAGTAAAGGGTGGTGAAGGGCGATAAGTTGTTATGCAACTACCTAGAGTAGAATTGGAAGGTTAAAAATGGGTAAAGGAGGTGATAAGGAAATGGGTTATGGTGAGTTTAGGTAAGGGGATTAGATCAAGAGAAGGACATGTATGCGTCTGAGGAAGGAGAACAGGTTGTCAAAACAGAAAGTGTGAGATTCTGCAAGCATGTCCGATAGGTTGGGAGGTCGGTGAAGGGAGGATAGGTGGGGGAAAGCAGAGGTGCGGGCTGTAGCAAAGCGTGGACAAGACAGCAGAATGTGTGGAACTGAAAGAGGGACTTTATATCGGGAAGTTGGAAATTCTTATAATAATAATTGTGATAATTATCGTTGTTGTTAGTCTTAATACTTTTGTAGTTATCATCATTATGAACATCATCATTATTAGTTATAACTATTATTCTTATTTTCATTATTATTATTATCAGCATTATTTTCATTATCAGCATTATCATATCATAATTATTACCATTATTATAATTACCATTATTATTGTCACTACTGTTATTATCATTGCTATCATAGTTATTATTATCATTGGTAGAATGCTATTTTAATGGTGCTGCTGCATCAATAACTTTTTCTCATTCCCTGATCTCCCTCCTATCTCCCAATCCCTCCCCCCCTACTCATCTCTCCCTCCTTTACCCTTCCCTAATTCCCCTCTTACTACCCACTCTCCTTCGCCTCCAAGACGGGCTGTTCCATATCGGCGATGGCTCTTCACTACTGGGTGACGGCGAGCGTGTGCTGGATGCTGGCCGAGGGCGGGCATCTCTTCCAGAAGGTACAGCACGTCCTCTCCCCCACGCATTACATGCCGGCGTACTGGTGGGTGCCGTGCTTGGTCCTCTTGTTTTTGTCTTGTGTTGAAGTCTATTAGTGCTTTATAGATAAAGAGAGAGAGAGAGAAGGTGTGTGTGTGTGTGTGTGTGTGTGTGTGTGTGTGTGTGTGTGTGTGTGTGTGTGTGTGTGTGTGTGTGTGAGAGAGAGAGAGAGAGAGAATGTGTGTTTGAATATGTATGTGTATTATGGATGTGTGCGTTTGTGTATTGATAGATAGACGTGAGTTATTCTCTCTCGATCCCATTCTAACTACCCATCTACTTATCTCTCTAGTTGGCATGTTCCTTTCCTTAATTTATTTTACTATGTTATTCTTTTCTTCATTATTTATTCAGCTGTTTAGTCCTTCTGCTGCCTGTCACGTTACCTGCTTATGCATATCTTTTTAAAAGCATTTTTACCACAAATTAACGAAATTCTGAATAATAAAAGGAAAATGCACTCAAAGTTATCCACAGAGGTCATATCAAATAGAATGTACATTATCAGCAAACCTGTCACTTCCTATTAGCACAATCTGTGGACATGAGAGCACCTTTTTCATTTCGTTATCATACATTACTTGTAAACCACACTTATGATATAACATATCCTCGACATACTTCAGCGTGTAAAACGGTATTCATTTCATCAGGGTAGTTTCGTTCTAGCGTTTTCCTCAATTCCTTAGATTTCGTTTAAGCTTCATGTGTATAACTATGTGTCAAATAATTTTATCGGTAAAATTATCGCGGATAACAATCAGGGTTACAGTAAAACAAAAAAAAGATATGGAATGGTTACCTTGACGTAAACTGAGACACTTTCCATCTATGGCAAAAGGTGCGCAAATCGAAAATAAAGGAGTTACACGACAGAGACAGAGAAGACCGACCCATCTTTTTCTGTCCCTCGCCATGTTGACATCGTGAATGTAAACAAAATTGTGATCAGTCAACTCATTCTTACGCTCTGTTAAGTAGTTCATGTATTACTACGCCGTTGTCAAAACGATATTTGGCTAATTAATCAGTGTCTGCTGTTCCACATATATACTTTCAAAGGTCTTTGTTAACGTTATTATACCTCATTTTCATGTTTCAAGATTTATTGGACAGTGATTTAAGGCAATCGGTCTGAAGCACCTTCTGCGCAGGCGCATTTTCGCGTTCTGCCGCCAGGTTTGACAGGACGATTCCCAGGGCAGACCGGTGACAGGAGACAGGTGAGAAATGTTTCGGTTTTGGTCTTACGTCGATTCTAGGTTGTTCTTAAGACTATTTAGTGGAAACGAAGAAGAAAAAAGACCTAAATAACTATCGCAGTTCGATTTCTGAGGCCATCAAGTACCGCAAATCCCGA